TTGACAACCACCCATATGTACATCTTGTGGTGACATAGTTTAAGTTCCTCAGCAGCAGCGCGGTAGCGCAGGTTTTCAGGGTATCGAGGCTTGTGGGCTCATGGGTCTGGCTGTCGCAGATGTGTAAAGCCGCAGTACTTACATTACGGTGGATACTAAAAATCCTGCATGACCCTAAGTACATTATATATATTGGGAGTAATGGGACTATTGTATACTAAGGTCATGCAGGATTTTTAGTATCAACAGTAGGCAAACAAGTTTCAAGGAATTGATCTTATGGTAGTCATTATGTACATCCAAGAGTATAGGCCTCCCTACATAACCACTTGTAAGATAGTAGCTTCCAGATTTCCATTCTTGCGTTCCTTGCTAACGAGAGGTATGAGTATTCTCAAAGCTCCATCGCCCTTTCCAATGCAGGTACATTTTCATCACCTACTTCTAGAACCTTCTAGACTCCAGAAACTCCTTACGGTAAAGCTTCTAACAGACAGCGAGCGAAGTGCCTTCCCTGCTGCATACGATGCAGCTCTTGCACCCATTTCTGTGAAAACAGGGCTGCAATAGATTCTAGGGCTTAGTTTTGTTTGTCTAAGTCTCCATACCCCCAAAAACCTGAACCCTAAATAGTACTTTCCATTTGCTTTTCCATTATTCCTGTACGACCCTATACTATTCCTTATTCCCTACAAAATACCGCTGCGCTGCTGTTGTTGCTATTGTAGGATGTACCAAGTTCTGACTTGGCTGGAACACTTGGAGGTTCAGTGCAATTCGAACTCTACGTATAATGCGATTATAAGCCTCCTAATTCTGCTAGTCTGATCATCATTGTGTTTACCGTTAACTACCAGCTATATTGAACTTATACTCTGCAATTATATGGGTTTTATAGTTACCCCAGCCCTTCATTTAGAGATGCCATGACGATCCCTCAAGTGCAGCCGGCTGACTGCCTCCTTTGCGCATACCTTAAGCCCTAAACCCGAAACCCTAAACCCTAAGCCCATGCCCCCTGTTGGTGAAGACTTCGCTGGGCCTGCTCCACTCCTCCAAACCGGACCTTAAAGGGGGTTATATAGGGGATTATATATGGGACTTCTATAGGGCATATGAAGGGGGCTACTAGGAGTTTAGACTATGGCTCCTGTGAAGTGCACCGTTGCCTTCAAGCGGCTCTTGTTGACCATCATTCCATGATAGCCTTAAGGAAGGCAGAAAGTTAGCATGCTAGCCATTGTTTCATGTTTGACTCTGCAGTCCGTCGTGGACTATGGCTACTACCGGCCAACCCCCTATCTAAAGCTTCTCGAGATTTCCAGCACGCCGGACAAAACGACCCTCGGCATCAGATTAGTTGGGTTTTTCAGGATGATAGGTTCTGGGCTTAGCGCGTATGTCCCTCCACGATGCATGGAGGGTGACCATCAACCCTCACCTCTGTGAGTCAAAGGACTTGAAAATTGGCGGCGCACAGCCCGCAACCCTAAACCCTATTTGGAAATTTCCCAAAATAAAGAGACCCCAATATAGACCCCAAAATACTATAGTCCGTGTTATAGGACCCCCGAAAAGTACTCCTAATTTTGGGAAAGCCAAATTTGGCAACATGCACCCAACTCTGGGGGTTCAATGCATGCCAACCTGCCCTCTGCAGAGGCGCAAGTCAGGGAAACCCTACGTTTAGGGTTTACGGACTAATGACTCGAACTATAAAGCCCAATATATACCCCATAATAATAGAGTTGTTTCGACGTTCTTTCCAATATCCCCTATGTAGCCTATGTAGCCCCCAGAATAGTCCCTTATATATCTTTCAATCTTGGCAGAGCAGCCCTGAACCCAACATGGTAAGTCCGAAACAGTCTCCTCAGCAGGCTACTTGTTCCCCAGGGCTTGAATATATGAGCTATAGTCTAAAC